TTCCTAAAATAGGCGCATCCCCAAATCATCCATTTTAATAGTATTTTCCATTATATACCATTCCTTAGCACGTTCACAACGCAGAACGCAAAACGTACGTTCTGGAACGCGTGTTCCGAACGCAGGGGTGTTTTTAGTGGTTTTATGGATCCCAGGAGCGTCCGAATCCTTTTTTTGCTCCCTGCAAAAAGGATCCACTCTAGCACATGGAGTTTCTCAAGAAGTTTTCAAGCAGTCCAGGAGCAAAACTTGCAGGCTTTAACCTGCACAATTCTTTTAAAACCAGGCAAAAAAAGGATCCGTCTTTGGCCTGCCGAGCGCTTTTTAAAGGCCCTAAAAAAAGGATCCGTGTTTGGCCTGCCCAGCGCTTTCTAAAGCCTCTAAAAAAAGGATTCCATCTTAGGCCTGCCCGACCTAAGGCTTTTTGTCCAAACGGTTCTTCTCAGCAACACAAAGCAACATCAAACCCTAGAAAAATCCTTTTAATATCTCATATATCCCCTTCCCACTAACTCTTATCCACTTATCCACTTAATTATCAATCCAAACATATCCCATCAAGGTCCAAGTCATGGCCCAGATCGCTGATCAGCCTTCTGGTGGCTGCATCTACCATTTTGAGCCCACAAGAGCTCCACATCCTTTTTTTTAGTGGGGGAAAAAGGTTTCTCTGTTCAAACCCCGGAAATAAATTGACTTTATATCATTGGAAAAAAGGATTCACTCAGAACGCGCGTTCTGGAACGCGAGTTTTTAAAACGCGCGTTCTGAACGCCCAAACGTACCGAACGAACATGGGTACCCCCATTTTTGGAAACCTCCATATGACTATATGAATTGTATGCACACATTTTTTGGTCTCACCATGATCTTTATGTGCCAGAAAACACAAAAAACAGCCATCCAGCCATCCCCGTGCCCCAGGTCAAAGACCCTGCCAGGTGCCGCTGGGTAAATCATCGAACTAGTTGGATGCTTTAGTAATAGGTTCAACTGATGTTAAGATGGGACACTTTTGAATCCACTTTTGATTGGGCCTTGCCAAAAGTATTTTCTCATCACATCCACGCCTTTCCCAGCCATTGAATGACTCAGGATACATACTTCAGGTTCTCGCACATGGGTAGGGAATCCCAGCCATCCCAGCCTGGTGGCTAAAGTTTGTGCGATAGGCCTGGATCGGTGCCCCGAAAAAAACGTATGAACGATGTTTCTGATATGGAATCATCGTGAACACCCTTGCGGCAATCTATATGCTCCTATTTCTGTTCTGACTTCTGACTTCTGGTCCTTTGATTACTTGAATCAAGCAATTCGGTGTTTGTTGGACATGTAATTGGGGTTTACCCAACCACTTGTAAATAGGTCCACGGTAAATCCTATAGATGTTCCCAACAAACAGATGAATTGCCATTTGTGTTGCTACTAGCTACGTCCCAAGTTTGGTTGCGTTTCCATCTTCCATGAGGGCCTAAACCCCGATTCATGTGAGTAATCCTTCTCCCCTAAAGAATAAAAACACCGAACAAAACGCAGTTCAAAATCGATCAACGCTTTCTTAAAGTCCAATTAAACTATAATGGCCAAACATTGGATTTGAAAGCTTTCCCCTGAACCTTAATTTAAAAACTATTGTCAGAGACCCTATAACAAACCACCACCAATTTGATCTAATTTGTTTTTCTTATTAAGGGGTGAAGCCCTCAAATATCAAATGGGATTCAATGTTTAAATTGTTTTCTAAAGGGGATCAATGAAAAATCAAATTGACCAAGCTGACATTTCCCAAAATAGGGAATTGGGAATGGATTTTAATCAAAAGCGTCAGGTTTTTGCGGCTGAAATCCTGCATTCGCACTGCTGAAATCCCGATCTGCCATGGTCAAAGATGCCACGATGGGTTGCTGGATTCCCAATGATTCCCATGAGATGGACCGGACCGCAGAAAAATCACCGTTTGTTCATGTCTGAAAAAAAAGAAAAACATCTAGCTGAGTGTGATATTATCATCTATAGTTGATTTATGTCGATTTACCCTCTGGTTATTTAACATAGCCATGGAAAAGGGCCCATTTATAGATGGTTTTGCTATAAAAATGGTGATTTTCCATGGCTATGTTAAATAACCAGAGGGTAAATCAAGATCCCATACTCAGATGCTCCCTGCATTTGGCTCACTTCGGGGCAATTCATGGGGGTATACCATGCTGAGCCAGGCATTGCCCAGTGTCTCCTGGACCTTGCCCGCTCTGCGCTTTCACTCCAGGGGACACCTTTACCAGGTGCCCATGGGCGAAGAGATCACTTTGTCGGAACCATCATTGATCTTAACCCATCATTGATCTTGGTGCCAATTCTTTACCAGGTACCCATCTGCAACCCAAGAATGATGGGTTAAGAATGTTTAAGATGTTTGAAGCCAAAAAAGATAGTTGTTTTACTATGAAACATGTTGTGGTAACTGGTAACCCAGAACAAAATGAGGATTTGATCATCCAACAAACTGACGTTTATACTCTGTGAACATTTGGGATGTTGATCTATCAACTTGTGTTCAAATGAAAATAGGCAATTTATGGGAAATTACATTTTGCCTATTGGGAAAGGAGAAACAATGACAACGAATCATCAAATTTGGAGGTACGACAGTAGAATCTACGGTAGTCTCCTCGAGTTTTTCAGAGAAATCCACATATCTGGAACCATGCAGTTAACAAGAAAAGGTTTGGTGTCCGAAGTGAAAGTGAGCCACTGAATTGTTCTACTTCCAAAATCTTCGAAATGTCCAAAGCATGAAATGCGACATGGTGTCAGGCCTTCGCGCGCTTTGATTTAGAGGTCTTGCAGCCTGTCCTATGGCCTCAGTACCTGAAAATGGTGGGAAAAATCCGAAATGCCATGCTTTTACAATGGGCTTGTTTGAAAAGTAATGATCAATCATTTGAGTGCTTGATTAGATTTATAAATTTATCTAGATGATCATATACTATATTATATTGTCATAGGTTACTGTTTTATATATGATCATGTTCCCATCTTTCCCCCAAAAATCCAAGACGGTTTGGCACCTCTAAGACCTTTGGTGGCCCTTGCCGGGCTCGCGGGAAAGACGTCGACAGGAGCATCGCCTTGCGGTTTTGCTTGGGATGTTCTGAGTTGGGGCTTTCTGACATTGGTTTGTGCAGATTTGTGCAGATTGTGGATCAACATGATTTATCTTCTGCATGTTCTGTGATATCCAAGTTTTTGTTATTGAACATGGATGAACATGGCCTTAAATGCCATATTTGCCATAGTCGGGATGCCATTTGCTGCAGGACTCAAAAAGAGACCTTTGAAATGCCAAAGTACGAGGTGCTGCCTGGGCGGACGAATTTAGACTGGCTTGGACTGGCTCTTATATTATGTATGTATTACGTATATACTATATTATACAATTATATGTTATATCTTTTTTGAAGCTGGAGGCCAGATTAAAATGACCATCATTGTATTTAGTTTTGTTGGAAAATCAATCGCCAGGTCAAATAGGTCAAGCCTCAGCTTCCATAGATTTCCATGCGGAACAGGCAGAAGAAGAGGATGCACCTTTGCAGCAGACGCCTTAGCAAAGGTCAAAATTTGGGTACCAGAAGTGGTACCCTCTGGTAATTTAACATAGCCTATGGAAAATCACCATTTTCAATAGGTAAACCATCTATAAATGGTTATGTTCCATTGCTATGTTAAATTACCAGAGGGTAAACCTTGGGTATCAAAGATAAGCCATGCTCGCTGTGGCTCTGACATGTTGAACGCATGTTGTCTGATGTCGTGGATGCGGATGCTCACTATTGAGGTCTCGTGCATTTATTTTCGAATAGCCAGCAGAAAGAAAAGCGTTCTCAGATTGATGGGAGTGCCAGCTTGGCTGAGAAGTTATGCACCGTTTTCAAAAGATTCCTTGCTTGTCTAAAGAACTATTTCACAACATGTTTAGTGTGTTTGTCTGGTACTCAATATTGCTCTTAGTTGCTTCATGGTGAGCAAGTTCAATTAGCGACTCTTCTTTGAAATACAGAACGTCTGGATTTGCATGGAATCAGCACATCGTCACGTCTGGATTTAAAGTGAATCCTTGTTGTTCTGAGTCGATGGTGATCCATGGTGATCCCCTTGGAGATCCAGAAATCCTGTGCCAATCATCGAGGAGTTTTGCAGTGCAGACAGCAACGATTTGTTGCATCCGTTTGGCACCAATTTCAATCACAAAAAAAACCGTGACAGTTTGAACAGTTTGAGCAATGGCCATATGCAGCATACTATAATAATTTAGTAATAAATATGATATAATCTAATATGATCTCATATTCAAACATGGGGCAGACCCAAAAAAAACAAAAAAACAGATTTCAAACAAATTCCGATTATCCCCAAGGCCTGTTCGGATTTCCCGAGACGGTCCGTCCAACCCGGCCATGGTGACGCAACGCCGGGCAGCGGCAACGCAAAGGCAACGGCAACGGGATCTGTGGTAGATGCTTGTCGCAGAAGATCAAGGATTCAACCATTGGAATGCAAGGATTGAGACATGTTGCAACACTTGTTGTTGCATGTTGTTGCCATTTGTGGAATGTTACACTGTAATGCACTGTACAAGTATGTGGAATCGCAGGCTTTGCCTACTAGAGAACAATATACAGAGATATGCAGAGCACATTTAAACTGTCAGCTCAATTGATCCAAATTTGCAACCGTCTTGATGTAGTTCATTAACAATTTGTTTGACATTATTTGACCTTGAACAGTCGCGAATGACCATAGCTGCCGCGCAGAAAAGTCTGAACTGGGCGCAAACCTGGTCAATCCACAGTCCGTGCCCCTTTTCCCCCCCGGCTTGACCCATGTACCCTTCAAAATTGGACGGAAATGGCAGTAAAATCTATTTGACATCTTCCCTTAAATCAATCCATTGACCGAGATTTGAGATTCTTTTTTGCTCCCACTATGGATGTGGCTGCGCAGCCACCATGAAGTTCGCTCAGGGACTTGCTTCTGGGACTGACGCGTGGAGGGTTCGATGGTAGAATGTTTGTTTGGCTGGTTGACTACTTGGTTGATTTGGTTGGCACGAACAATTCCCTTGGTATATGACATACACATATTATCCTGATGTATCATGATTTATCATTATTTATTTATCCTGATGTATCATGATTTATCAATATTTATCACTGCATGGATGTTGGATGATGTTGAGAACTGGAAACTGCACCTGGTATGGGAAACCAATGATCTGGCTATGTGGTATGACATACCCCGGTATCAAAAAACCGGGGACATCAGGGATGCCAGCAAGCAAACTTGACCCTTCCACCTTGACACAGGTTTGTCCCGAAACCGAATTTCGCCAAAATCCAACGGTTTGAAGCCTCATTGTCCATTGTTGTTCTGGGAATTGCATTTGTTTCGCAAAAGATATCACCAGAACGGATCAGAACGGTTGTTTTGTCTAGTTGCAGTTCGAATGAGGTAACTGATGAAAATTCCCCTGGAATTTGGGGGTACCTGATTTGAATCCCTGGCGCCAAGAGCGCCATTTGATGCCGAGATCGTGGGTTTGCTCTTCGGTTCAGCTGCTGTCTTCATAAGCTATGAGAAATCTGCCTTCCTTGGTCTACCAGGTGTGAGCGTGACTTTGAGCCATGGCTGAATGGTTGGTTTGTATTTCATGTTCTCGCTTCTGCTTTCTATGATCTTCACGAAGAAAATTGCATCCAGTCCCCTTGTCATGTGATTTGAGCTTAGCATGTTCGTTCGGTACGGTTGGGCGTTCGGAACGCGCGTTTTAAAAACTCGCGTTCCAGAACTCGTTCTGAGTGAATCCTTTTTTTCCAATGATATAAAGTTAACTTATTTCCTGGGCCTGGACACTGAAACCTTTTTCCCCCCAAATAAAAAAGGATTTTGAGAGCTCTTATGGGCTCAAAATGGTGTATGAAGCCACCAGAAAGTTGATCTTCCCAACTCCGGATCCTTTTTTGGGTGAAGCAAAAAAGGTTCTGGCCTCACCAGGCTTCTGGGGCAAGTTAGCTTTCCTTCCCGGATCCTTTTTTTCTCTGAAAGGAAAAGATTCTGACCTCTCACAAATTTTTATCGTAGTGCTAATAACAGAGGTCTAAAAAGACTTTGAAACATTGTTGAAAAATTCTATGTGGCACAGCGGATCCTTTTGCAAGGAGCAGAAAAAGGATTGGGAGGCTTCTGGGATCCATAAAGCCACTAAAACCCCCCTGCGTTCGGAACGCGCGTTCCAGAACGTACGTTTTGCGTTCTGCATTTTGGTCGTGCTAAGGATTTGAGTCCCTGAGTCATAGAAAAAATGTCAGAGCGCACCCCCAAAAAAACAAATATATATTCTGTAAAACTTCTCGAAAGATTGCTTTAGATAAAGTGTTTCTTTTGTTTGGGTACCAAACTTTGAGTTCATGACCCAGAAAAAGTGTGGATACAAAACAAGGGATCCCGGGTTTCCAGGGTTCCATTCCAGTCTTGAGTGGCTTGCGTTTGCGACGCACCAGTCCCAGACCGAGTGCTGTTGGGAATGCATAATCCTTTTAGATCATGACTTCGGATGATGCTTCGGGTAAGCGCAGGATCAAACATGGGGTGTTTCCCACAATAGGGGTAGCCTAAACTGGTGGTTGCTCTACTCGACCAACGACTTGGGACCATTTTAGGCCAAAAATGACCCCAGCTAATACCAACCACTGGTCGCTCCGCTCCCACCAGTTTTGATTGCCATGACTCTGAGTGATGGAGTCCTCAAGGACCAAAAAAAGGTCCTGGATCGTGAACGCCTCACGATGGCAGACTCACCAGGTTTTGATATGGGAAGGTACAGTATAGTTTAAACGGCTTCATGATCTTGTCAAGAATGGAATATACCACTGGTTTGTTCTAGATTTGAATTCTCTAGCATCCAAATTGTGTGGTTCTCGAGAAATGGGACTCTACCCTCAGTACATGGCCATTCAACAACTTGGGGGAAATGAGGCTCGAAACCTAAGCCGTGCATCATTTTGAATCCTTGAAATTACCGAAATCCTAGGTCCAATGGGCTACATTAAATGTCGTCACTTCATCCAATGCTCGTTGGGTATACATCCCGTTAAAATCCCAATATAATCAATATATCACCATCATGATTCGGATTGGACACACCCCCTATATGGATATCTATTCATCGAGACACTTTCTTCTAGGGACTTAACCCCCGAAATCTCACCCCAGACATATTATCCATTCAGATCCGATTGAAAGCCAATTACCTTCTGGAAATCAGCCACGTGGCAAGGGATTTATCCATTGCCATTTAAACCCCTTACATTAAACCTGTTGGCATCCCATTATATATATATATCATACTACATCCATAATATGTTGAAGCCATGCACATCGATGCCTGTCCTTCGGCAGCCCAAAGCTCGACCTAAGGGCAGAGAGCACGCTGACGACTGCCGTGAAGGATGCTCAAAGGCAATGCGAAAGCAGGACTCTTGGCTGGTGGGCTGGAATGATGGGACTTGGATTGGAGCAACTATCCAAAATTCACTGAATTCAGGCCTGTGAATTATTTCAACCTGTCACGATATATTAATAAGTCTATCCATATATATAATGTTGGTAAAGCAATAATCAACCACCCCATTGTTGATGGTTTATGCAACCCATTCATGGTGATTTTGGGGATGGTTGATTATTGCTTTAACCACATTATATATTGTCTATATATCGCCTATATACTCGGAAACCTCGTTTTTTTGGGCAGGATGGCAGCGGCCATTGAGTCTGCAGAGAGGCAATGTGAGACGAAGCAACTGGGCGGCCTGGAGTGTTGATGATTGATGCATTGCTTAATGGGATAACCATCAACATTTGTTATTATAGTAATGTCAACCCCGGATTAACAAACCATGGTTTATTAATTAGGGGGTACCCCTCCAATAGTAATAATATGATACTTAAATGGTACCCTCGCAATTAAACAATCTAGGGGTTTATTAATCCAGGGTTGACATTAACAATTTTGGATAACCACTAACATCTATTTGGATACATGTTTTGATTTTGATAACCATCCATTTTAAGATAAACCTATTGGAATAGATTTATATATTTATAATTATATATATATATAGTACCGATTGGCAAAACTTGATATAAATGGATATAATAAATCTATTTATAACCCATGCACATCATGTACAACTCACAATAGATGGTTGATGCGCTCAATGGTAGGCGGTTTGATCCAAAGATGTGTGGGCCTCAGACGAATGTGCCAAACAAAATAGTAAACGAACCGTTTGGAGCATTTTGCATCATTCCAAATAAGGGTATAACCAATGATGCGCCAAACTCGGGGGTGGTTATTCCATTATTATCCCATAACGATCCCATAATTTTCCTATGATTGTACTGTAGTTATTATTGGCTTTACCAAAATGAATAGACATTTGGTCAAATCCCCCAAAGTCAGCCAGTTAAGTCCACTGCCCAGTGCCCAGTGGCTGAAGGTTGAGCAGAGTGCAGCAAGACGAGCATGAAGAAGAATCTGCTGAGGAAGAACCCCAAGAAGAGCCTGCAGAAGAGCCTGCAGAGGAGTTAGCCGAGGCTGCTGTATCAGCAGAGCTCAAAGACCCAGCCAGCATGACACCCTACGGTTGCCCACCGGGACTGCCGAAGATGCTTGGTATCGTGCGGCTGGGGGCAGATGGCCAGGGTCCCACATGGTCCCAGCATTTTTCCCGCCCAGGATCCAGAGCATTCTGCAAGACGAAGGATCCGAGAAGTTCTCCATGCACCACTATGCTCCTGGGCATCATTTGGTAAGATGTCACGCCGTGTTCGGGTTTCTTGGATTACCCTCTAAGAATCCCAGAACTTAGCGGTTTGCTATGGTATAGATGGCCCATGTATAGATGATTTATATACCTATTCAAATCGTGTTTTTTCCCAGCTATGTCAGGAGGAGTTCAGTCCCGCCAGGAGCGCTACTATGCCAGCTGGTTCCGGGAGATGCGCTGCAGGTCCACTCTGAGACTTGTGGAGATTGGCGCGAGCCAAGCTTCGTTGAAAGCATGGGATCGGATGTTTCAATCGTCCAGCAAGACCATCCTAGGTGTTGCGGACAGCGACAGATCCTCCGAAAATGCCATGGATGCTTGGACCGAAAAGGGTTTGTCGGAAAATTTAACAACAATCCATTTTTTTTATCGTTTAGAACGTGGTTTTTCCGCATTTAAAGTGGCCCATATTGATTGGGGTTCAAATTTTCAGACAAACCCATCTCCATTTCTTGATTGTTTCCCCCTTTTGGTGAGATGGTGATATTTCGAAGCCCCCCCAAAGTCTCTTCAGACCCTTGGTTTCTTTTGGGACATGGCCATGGCTTTGGACCCAAAGAGTTGACCAACCAGGATGCCTTGATTTCCAAGGGGCCCTGGGACATCATCATCGACAACGGTTCCAGTGCAGCTGGCCAGATGCTCTTCTGCTTGTTCTCCTTGTGGAACACCTTGGCACCGGGTGGTGTGTACATCATTCAGAACCTGCACGCCAACTTTGGGGTCAACGAGGTCGCTGCAGAGAACCCAGGCGGTGAATGGTGACCGGGACCAGGGTGGTGCAGGATCAACGGCGTGCACTTTTCCAAAAGTGGTCCGAGCATGCTGTTTTTTTTTTACATTTTGACTTGGAAATGTGCTTCGCGCCACAGCGGCGTGCACTTTTTCGACATCTCAACTTCCAAAAGTGGGTGTGTTTTGTACATTTTGACTTGGAAATGTGCAGGGTGTTGCCTCAGTTCCAAGACGATTTGCAACTTTGCAACCCGCTGGTATCCTGATCTAATAAGGATTCATGATCTCCAATGAATCTCCAATCTACCTTCATCCTATAGTTGATATGGTTCCCTGCTGCAACATGCCTTTTACATGCCTTTACATGCCTTTACATGCCTTTTACATGCCACCAAGGAGACCACTGGCGAATCAAGCATGGGCTGTAGTACAAAAAATTGAGGAGATCCAACAAGTTCTGATGCGTCACCAGCTGGGCGCACGGGACTTGAGTGTGATGCCGGGCGATCACAGTCTGATCTCCGTGGAATGGGGGATGAATTTAGTGTCCTGGTGGTCAAAATGGGGAGATACCCTAAACTCATGGGTTTCTAAATTCTATGTATACTATTATATACTCTATGTACTAATATTAGTCATATTTAGTCTAATGTTGGATGATTGGGGTGTTCATGGGTGTTCCTCCAATCTTGGGAAGCACCCAAGTAGGACTTTGTTGGATTTGTCATGTGCGTTGAAATGACTAGCATCCAAACACAGTTGTTTTTGATCCAACATGTCGACTTTTGTGGCGGTATATATGTTGATTGCCACCGGCACGCTTACCACAAGTTGTCACAACACTCCAGCCATGTTTGATGACCGAAAGGAGGGCATGAGGACATGTCATGATGTATCATGGCGTTTTCCATTGTTTTCCTAAGGTGAAGTTGAGAAAATGCACTGAACTGGAGTGTGCAAGTCCTCCAAAATGGCGAGAGGTCCGGGTGGACATGGATCGTATGGTTGCGTGGAACGAAAGGGCTACAGCAACCAATCCCAAGGCCCGGTTTTTCCCAAAAAAAAATCAGGTGGATTGGCCATTTTTGGGGCCTGGAAGATGATGATTTTTGGGTTCTATTTGAAAAAGATAGGAAATTATAGGTAACCACTTCAAGTAATTGATCGCAATCCAATAGGAACAATTTGTGGATGAACCCGTAAGTTTTAATTTGTGCATCTTTGATTTTATCAGAGTTCAAGTTGAGTTGCTGATAGATGTTGATGTCGAATATATATATATAGTTATTGATTCATTTGGTGTATCTGTCTATGTAAATCCCTGAGTCAAGCTACCCTCTAAACAGTGGATGAGACAAGATTCACAGCCCCCTGCTTTCTGGTCCCGATAGCCCCGTGGCTGATGGTTTTGTTTATTGGCAGAATAATGTCTTTTACAGGGAGTTTATATCTCTCTGTCGAAGCAAGCAAGTCTTCAGCACCCGAGCAGTACAGAAGTGTTATATATATATATAAATTCTAAGGGATTTCCATGTACAAGGCGGCACAATAAGCGTTTCGACCACTGCTTATGAATTTGGGTTTATGGCAACACCCTGTTTAAGATTGGATATGACTGGATGTTATTTCTATCTATCTATCTTGGGGTTCCCACATGTCATACAGGTCATACCTTCTTGATCCCCTGCAGATCACCAAACGACCTGGCACTTTGCCGCAGCCAATGTCGCAGCCGCGGTCCATTGAACCGCCAGCTTTTGCAGATGTCAGTGGCTCCCCATACCCATGCCCAAAGGGATTGGAATCGAGGCTCGGCAGATGGCCCCTACTCTCAAACTTGAGTCATGCTTCCCGGTTTCATGATGTTCAGTGATGTTTGATGAGGTTTAATGATGGTTATATATGGTTATATCGTGATGTTTGATGATGTTGTATCATGTGTTATAATGTTCAATGGCTGTTCAAACCCTACAGTTCTGAGGGTTCAAGCTGAAGAACATGTGGACATCATCAAACCAAGTCTTCCAGTGGATCAATTGACAACTCAGATGGCATTAAGATAATCCTTTGAGCCAGCTGCTTCTGAAGGGGTCCACGACAACCCAAAAAGTCCGCAGGTTTAGAGTTGGAAACTTCCATGAAATGCCAGCTGATTGTTTGGCAAGTCTCAGCCCCCGGGTATAACAAATGATGCCCTAAGGATCGCAAGTTTGATCAAACGGAGTGGCTCTGACAAGTACAAGAACCATCGCTATGCCACTGGGTTGCAGGGCTGTGTGAAGCGTGTTTATTGACAAGTCTGAAGCTCACAATGTTTTCTTGTTCCACGCATGGTCAATCTTTTAGCACATTTGGCCATAGAATTCCATGGATTTTGGTGTCGACTTCGACCTGACTTTTTTCCATCAAACCCAAGGACCACTACTACGAGAGGTGGTTCCGGGAGATTCGCTGCAAGCCCAAGATCAAGGTCATCGAGATCGGTGCCAACCAGGGTCACTCCTTGAACGCCTGGGACACGATCTTCACCTCACCGGGGAAGACGGTGCTGGGCTTGGCCTATGGCGGCCCTGCCATGGGAGTGGAGAAGAAGGTGAGACGTGGCGTGGGAGTGCTCTTTGGAGATCAGTCCAAGAAGAGGACCATGGCATCTTGCCGGAGATGATAGGCATGGTATGATTTTATTTGATTTTAGGGTATGATTTAATGATCACATGCTGAAAGCCGAGGGGTGCATGGTGTTGAGATTGTATACATGGTTGTATGAACAATTGGGCCATTTCTCTAGGGGTATTGGTGGTGTTGGGGTTTGAGGAGTTGTGGATTATGGTGACAAGGCCACAACATGGATCTAATTGTGGGCCAGAGAATAGGCAAGAAGTAGGCAGGTTGGTTTGAGGAACCAGGTCTCCGATCCGGTTTGAGGACGAATAGCGCTTGAGTGATTTCCGTGTGAACCGGCTAGATGTGTATGACCAAACAGGCAAGTTGAATCAAATCGAATCAAACTGAGTTTAATCAGCCAAGAATATTCAAGAATATTCAAGAACAAGAACAGAACAAGAAAACATGTGGCCTAAAATTCTATTTCGAGGAATGAGGGACCTCCAAGCCCGGCTTCCTTCTGAAATGGGCTGACAATAGAGAATTTCATATCTGGATGAGATGATCCCCCAGTCTCAAAATGACGGGATCACCCCTATTTTGGGATGGTTTGTTGGTCGATTGGTACCCAACCTTTCGATCCACCACATGGGACATCCATTTGGATCCATTTGGGAGGTCCCCCAGAGCACTGCCAGGAAGATTTAATCGCAAGGGGGCCGTGGGATATCATCATCGACGATGGTTCGCATGTGCCCTACCACATGGTTTTCTCATTCTTCTCCCTGTGGAAAGCTGTGGTTCCTGGTGGTCTCTATGTCATTGAAGACCTGGAGACCAACTATTGGCTGCCTGGCAGAAGGGTCTACGGGCACCTTGGTGGCACCTGTGAATCTGAATTTGTGTTCCCTCCAGGAAATGTGGCCATGCCAAAGATGGCAAATCACTTGAACAGAAGGCTTCAGAGTCCAGAATCTTAGGATTTCAGAGTATGGCTTTTGATTTTCCAAGATTTTCCAAGATCGTTCCATGTAGTCTTTGCAAAAGATCTATAACTTTCCACCAGCTCATGGCTCTTCATAAAGTTATGGCCGTCCCATTTAAGCCGCAGGTACAAGCTGAGCCACACGGGAATCGATACGGACGCGGCCCATTCTGCGGTGAAGAAAGTGGAGCAGTTGACCAAAGCTCTGATGAGATTCCAACTGGGTGCCCGGGGTCTCACAGTGATGCCTGGTGATGGTGACATTTGCTCGGTGGAATGGGGACACAATCTGGATCCTTGGACAAACGTTGGAGCTGTTTGTTGAAGCGCCCAAAAAAAGTGGATGGATGTGGATGGTGGATGACGATGGATGATGGACTTGTGGCAGGAGGCTTCAACTTCTTTTGGCAGGTAATTTGAGTGTAGTGTTTAACCACGTCCCAGTCAGCAACTGGTTGAAAAAAAACATGTGTATTGTAACAGGGGTCATCCATGGTTGTCCCATCTATAAACCGGTAGAGCAACAGGGGTCATCCATGGTTACTATTCCAAATATACACTGGGATTATAACGGAACCGCTTACACCCGAATCTGTGTTTTCCGACTAATCTTATCGCGTCATTTGAGGTAAAGATCCGAAAATGCACAGAGGAGGAGGCGGCTGCGAATCCAACATGGAAAACACCTATCTTCGATCAACAGGAAATGGAAGCGTGGATCCAACAGGCACAAAGAACGAATCCACGCGTCTGACGAAAAATGTTCTATGGCCAAAGTTTGCTGCAAAGGTTGGATGGATGCTGATGCTTTTCAATGAAGACTGGAGTTTGTGGAAATGCTGAGGATAGGAGCATTGAAGGTCTTTGCAGTGAAAAAAGCAAGGAATCTCAAGCCTCCCTTCAAAGTCTGAAAATGTCTAAGGTGTGCAAGTTGATGGCCAGAAAGGAATCATTGGTAATACATGGATGGGGTTGGTTCGTGATGAACAGCGTCCATCCAGTCAGCACAGAATTATAGAGAATGAGTTACAAAAACTCCATCCGACTTCCTCCAGTGGAGGCTACCCCCTGCGGGACAGAGGATCGTTTCACTTTCGGCGCCTATAAGCGCCTGTGGGATGCAAAGTCGTCCATTGCTATTGATGAAAGAAAAATGTGGCGTGCCAGGGAAGGTCTTGCTCAGTGGTGCAAAGGTATACTTTTTATTGGTGGAAGGGGAATTGTTCGATGATGACAGGATTAGGAAATGGTGCCTGGAAAAGTGAGACCGACTTTCTTCACTCAAGTAACAAATTGATCGAATGTTCTTTCCAGTAACCTACAAGAAAACTGAGTAGCACTGTAGCACTTTTTAAAGTTTCTTTCCATGCTTCCATGATCTGGGTTGGTCCAGATGGAATGGCACCACAGCAAGCCCTTCCCGATATTAAAGATCCAGCATGTATAGATCCCCAGTCGTCGCTGTGTCCCCGTAAATTTAGCTTGCCCTGTAATATGACAACGGAAATTCCATCAGATATATAATCATCATATTATAACGATATGGGTGTGTTTGGAAATTAGGCCCATGTATACCCCCAATTATGGCCATTTGATAGGGATATTTGTGATTACTGTAACCCTTGGGTTTAGGGTACATTATTTGCAGACAAACCCAGAATATAGATATTGTTATATTTCAATATATTTCATACCCTCAAATACGCTGGAGTTCAATGGGAGATCCATTGCAGTAAAACCCCAAGAATTATCCAAAAACAAGGCTTATCACTTTCTAAGATCCAATCAAAATGTCCGTTGAATTCTGATTTGACTTCGAGGCACCGCCCTTATGGCAGACCTCGGTGAAGGTGGACGGGCAGGAGAGACGATTTCTGTGGAGATCCCAATCTCAACTTCTTGGGGCTCCTCAACTTCTTGGGGCTCCTCAACTTCTTCGGGATCTTCGGAATCTGATAATTCCTCTTTTGCTCCTTTCTCTGACTCACTTTCTTCATGGTCCTCTAGATCCTATTGGCTTCCTTCATCATCCGGGTACTTCTCATCTTCCTCTAGGCTACCTTCAAAAAGGTCTTGAGTATCAGGCAAGTAGACGAGGGTCTCCATGTTGTCAATCGTCTCTGACTTTTTGCCACCTTCATCTTTGCCTTCGCTTTCTTTGCTGGCTGCCTTTTCTTGCTGTCGTTTCTCCTGGAAAAAGAGCCAGCATGGGGCTGGGCATAGGCCAGGACAAGCTAGAAGGAAATAACAAAATGAAGGAGTCAATTGGTTTCAAATCTCCGGGGGATAATGGAGAAAGAGAGAGAGAGAGAGAGAGATTGGTTTCAAAACGATTTTGCGAACGGGCTCCTTCTTTGCTTTTGGTCCCCTAGATGCCTTTTTCTTCCCAGAATGGGTCAGTAACCCACAGGCCTAGCCACATAGGAGTTGGCAGTTAGATCAAGTCAATGTGCAGCTTGACATTTGGAAAAAAGGATCAGCAACTGTATCGAAAATAATTTCAACATTTTAGTTTTAGTTGCAACAAACTGTCTTGATGTCAAACGCCTAGCCTTCAACTTTGCATGGATGATGCTTTTGATCTTTGCCATGCCTTCCCTTCCAGCCCTGAGTTGGTGATTGTTAAAAACAATATTACTTGGGGGAAAACATTCAGCCAAAATCATTGTGTCATATGTAGAACTTGAGGAAAGGCACCGGGATTTTGAGGTTATCTGAAAGCGCAGCATGCAGTAGGAGGCGAGTGCATGTTTTACACCAGATTCGACACTAGCCCAAGCCTTGCCACACTCACAAAATTTAATTTGGGAATTTCCATAAACAGATCTGAGGGAACATGTCCGCAAATCAACACAGTCCAACCCCTCCCATCCCATTTGCGTTTTTTTGTGACAAGACACTCGGTGATCAGCTTCCGAGGAAAACTGTGGGTTCAGGCAATAAGTCATGCTTGCCCAAGTCAACGCGTCCTGGACAAGGCTAGCATACTATTATACAATATATTATACACATACAGTATTCACGTCGCTTCGCGACGGCAACCGCCCGCACCGCATCGTTGGGCAGCCGCTCGTAACTGCCAATGATGTCGGCCATTGAGACCAAAAACATCCGAAAGTACTGATTGTCGGAAAAAAAAACGCGAAGAATTTGATAGCCATGTATAGCGGACCAACGCAGTTCAAAAAATAACGAAAAACATGAAAAAACGGCGAAATTGCTGTTATTTACAGTGTTTTTGCGCGGTGAGAAGCAGAAACCACTGCAAATACCATGGTTTTTGAGGGTCAGGTGGCCAAAAACACTGTAATTTACAGTGTTTTTTTAACCAACGTCAAAAAACACTGGTATTTACGATGTTTTCATTCACACCGTAACATAAAACAGCGTAATTTACGAGGTTTTTGGAAGTTTTGAAGCTAGCCGTCAAGCATGCAGAAAACAGAAAAACACTGTAAAAACCAGTGTTTCTGCTATCACAAAACGACGAAAATCAGTCCGAAAACGGGTCCAAAAACTCAAAAATCCGCCTCCGGGCCCGGCCACCTGCGGAACCGCAAAAAAAGATGTTGCAAACCAAAAAATTGAGGTCAAAAAGTTGAAAAACACGGGTTTTTTTCACTTTTCGCTTGCCGATTTTGGACGGGCGCGTTCACGAACAGGTGTCTTCCGTACTGTTTTTTACAGTGTTTTTTGAAGGCGAGCGTCACGACCTATCAAAAACAGGAGGTTTTGGCCGAAAAATGCCCCCCCCCCCAGGTAAACCTGTAACCTTTTACGAGTGCCATCCGGAAGATCACGCCCCAGCACCTTCGGTGCGGGCGGATTTATAATAACCTAGGTAGTCCATACTGGTTTTTACATGTTGCTACCCTGCAATTTCCCCAGTTTACTCCCAAACCTCTGGACATATTCGGGGTCCTCCATCTCGCTGTCATTTGGAAGCTTCTCACAGAATTGGGCCAGGAACTCGCACAAGAACTGCTGGTTTGCCTGAGAACGTTGTACCTGGCAAAGGACCGATGATGTAATAGGATCATCTTATTCAAGGAATCTTACAATGTAGGGCCCCCCTAGTCTATCTAGAAGCGTGTGGAATATGATCAATTTGTATCACACAGTTGCAGCTTATGACCCTGTTAGTTTATAACCATATAATACATAACCATACCCGTTAATACTCGACATCTCACCTAGTGGTAATGCAAAACATAACGAAATCGTCTGTAAGTCACCACGGTTTTGACGGGGTCTATCTGTATCTCTTTTTGGGACCACTTACAGGGTGCTGAATATGATGGTGATGGGATAGCAATGATAAACCACACACACACAGTGTAAACAGAATCATTGAACCAAAAAATGAGATCCCAAAAGCCTCGATCTCTTGGATGGTAGAACCCTTGCAAAGGCGGTCCACAAACGACCAAGGCGGAACCTTAGATGATGTGTGCATGAGTGTGCATGAGTGTGCATGTGTGTATGCATGCATGTCATGCGCAGAAAAGTTACCCAACAGAGTCACTTTAGTAATTGATTGTATTGTTTGGCTGCCAAGCCACCCGGGAGTCCTTTTCTCGCATCCCAAGCTGTTGCCTAAGAACACCTCTCCGGTCTGGGATGTAGTTCTTCTGGTCAAGTAGGTCCTTATAGAACTCCTGGGCCGTTGGTTCCACTTAGGACCCCATCGTATATCATGCAACCATCCCTAAGCCCCTTAGCAAATAGAGATGATGAACCTTCATCAAATTGGTATAGGCTTGCTTTTCTGTATTTTGTGGGCGCCTGCATGTCCCACCTCATTGAAACTTATTGAGCACCCCAAAGGAACCAATGATTGTATAATACAGGACCATAAACATATTGGGCAAATAAACAGGACTCCACAAAATTTACAAGTTGTATTTGATGGATTTTGAGGGCTGGCATTTTAGTTGTTATAATTTAGACACTTGGTATGTGGAGGTGGGTTGCAGCTAAAGCTCCTGCAGGAGCAGTATGCGATCTTCAGCGGAAGACACAGCCGCCATTGGCCGGAAAAAACCGCAAGCAGCGGCCAAGACACCCTTGGATGCCTCCTTGAACCTCATAAGTTACAGTATAGTGACGGACAACTACTTAGAACATCATTTGGAAAAAAAATCTGAAAATCGTCACAGCGGGGATGTTCTAAGTATGGGTTTCAAAAAAAGTAGTTAGAACATACCCAAAACCTATACTTAGAACATTTCCAAGCTATACTTAGAACATCCCAGTGGGGAACCAATGGGAACCATACATATATGTATGTTCGAAGTATTTTTCCGTCGCGAATTATATATATACACTATATAATACTATATATAGATATATTTATTTAAGGGCTGCCGCCCCTGCCGCCTAATTTCTGCCGGGGTCGGCGGATATTTATAAACTAATAGGCTAGGGGCAATCTCCAGCATCAGTCTTACATTGATACATCATATTTACTATAATATATATATATATATGTGTATGTGTGCCCGAAGAAAAGGTATAGAATGCTGCAGCAGTGAGGGGAGAAAGTGTTCTAAGTATGGTGTTCACCAAGGTATTTGTGTGTATATATGCAGATTTACCAAAGTAACAAGACATGTTCTAAGTATATGTGTGTTTTAATGTTCTAAGTATGCAAAAATCAATGGAGATGTTCTAAGTATCTGTTTTTCTGATGTTCTAAGTGCGTACTTAGAAACATTTCTGATGTTCTAAGTATGGTAATTTTGATGTTCTAAGAGGAGGTTTCGAAATTTTGGAAAAAAATGATGTTCTAAGTACATGTCCGTCACTATAGTAATAATCATACGTTCTGAAGGCCCCTATGACAGTTTCACCCGGTTGGTAGGATTGGGATTTTGTAGGAAGTGCCCATCAATAAAAAATACATGGACAAACATCCCCCAAATCCAGCACAGGCTGGGGCGGTTGGCACCTGGATGAGCGGGTTGGGGGTCTTGTAGGTTGATATCGGAAGCATGTCCTGGGCGAAACTTTTTTGGAAGCTGGACTACTACCCACTTTGTAATTAACATTCCAAGCTGGAACATGTTGTTGGTCCCAATGCAGATCAAGGGGCGGCGTAACAACGCTCGTTTGAATCTCATCCATGTGCATGCAACCACCTGGGATGAAATG